AATGATATAAAACGAGAAAGAAAAAAGAATAATTTTTAAAATATTATTTTATAATAATCAGTGGGCCGAATAATTATTTCGTAACTTCACGGGTAATCGCCGATAACTCCACAGTTACTATCAAAAAATTTACCAAACCAATTACTTTTTGTAAAAGGGACCAGACCAAATTTGGCTAATAAATTATTAGTCATTAAACCTTGAGAGTCAAATTTAGTAATTTGATTAAGAAACAGATCTATAGCATTTTTATCAAAAGAATGATAAAGATATTTATAATCTAAATCGGAGTCCAAATGATGACCCCAATGAAATCTGGCCTTGTATTTTAATGCAGTACCAAACAATGGCTTATAAACATATTTATAATAATCGATTCTAGTATCCTATAGGTTAATAATAATGTTATTATTTTAATTTAATTTTTTTTAAAAAAAAAGTCATCTACTTACATATACTAGGATTGACATTTCAACAAAACATCTAGGTTCACCATTCACATTATAAGCCATAGATAAATATTGAGAAAAGACAGCAGCAAATCGTACAGCAAGAGAATTATTAATATTATAATTAAACCTTATTCTAATTTCTTGAAGCGTTTCCCTTAAAGCATTGATTGCTTTAATATGATTATAATCAATCATTGAAAATGAAAATTCTATAGAAATAACCTTAAAATCATTAATAAATCCAATTAGATAAATATTATTGTAATCATCAACTATATGAGTACTATTATATTGAGTTTTTAAAGCAGATTCAACTAATAAAGGAACAATTTTTGAAAATAAATTTAATAAAATAAATAAAATCTGTTCTCCATCAACATTTAATTTTTTTTGCAAAATCACTAATAATATGATAATTTAAAAATTCTTGTAACCATTTTTTATAATTTTCCTTAAGATATTTTACTTTATCTTCTTTTGTTGCAATATTTCTTCTTGTAATTAGAGCATAAGGTGAATAAGGACTAATCTATACTTCTGCATTATAATATTTTAAAATATCATTTTTACTATAAAATCATTATGATAAAATGGGTTTAATAGCTTCACAGGTTGTTTTTTCTTTTATTAAAATTACTTTATAATATAGAATTATTTTAATAATTACTTGATATACAATACCTAATGCCTCTAAATTTATTATGCTTGCGTTAAATGTTTATCTTATTGAATTAATTTAATATTTAGATATTATTTTAAAAATAAAATAGAATCTGTGATTCTATTCATCAGTTTGATTCTATAAATTTGTCTACCTAGTATAATAAAGTTCACTGTAATTATAAATGATACTAAGGGTTGAAGAGTGATCTCACTTCCATATGTTGAAGTTGAATTACATCTGATAATTGATTGATTATCATATTTAGATAAATTAAATATAACCCTTTTATCTTTTATTAATTCTAATATAATTTCATTGATTATAGTTCTATATTTTACATTATAATAAAATTTATCAAGTTTAAATTTTTCTCTTACTAAATTTAAATTTGTTTTAGTTACCCCATGATAATTTTTAATATAAAAAAGAAATTTATCAGTTTTAGTTATTCGATTATGCATAGAAAGGTTATTATTAATATTATATTAAAATGCTTAATTAATTTTTAAAGATATTTATTTGAAAGCTTCAAAACTTTTTACAGCTTTGACATACTTCATTTTATTATAAAAAGCTTTCATAATCTCTACAAATCTTTCTAATGATAAACTTCTTTAATGTCTCCACAAAATATTATATTATCTACTTATTTGCGATAATCTCTATAAAATATCATATTTGTCAAAAGAAATAAATAATGTAGTGTAGCAAAATACTAATATACCTATTTGAAATTCAGTATGATCTTAATATTTATCTAAAAGGTCTTAAATCATTTTGATAACTAATTCCTCTAAAAAGAATTTTTTTTAACAATTTCATTCAAAAATTTTTACTTTAATAAATATTATATATAAAAAAAATAAAAAAATAATTAATTATGATACCTAATTCTTTTTTAATTTCATCTTTTTTTTCGTAAATTTCTGATAATTCTCAAAGGTAATTTTTATCATAAATTTCTTTTGCTTTTTTTATTAACCTTAATTTTCTATTTTCACTGTTTCAAAAAAATAAAAAAAAATTCTTATTATTTTGCTGCTTTTTATTTATGTTGACAGATTATTGTGAAAATACTTACTTTATTAAAATAAAATATTATTTATATTATTTTAAAACCTGTAAATGATGTATTCAATTAAGAATTTTATATAAATACCTTTAATCAATAAAATTTACAAATTTCTTTTCTTAAAAACTAAAATTTTTTCTATTTTCATTACCTTAAATAAGAAAGAAATTTTAACATTTATATTTAATTTGATTCTTAAATTAGTGTATATGATTATAAAAATCTTAACCATAAATAATATTACTTTATGAGTCAAATCTCTCAAAAATGAAGTTTATTTTATCGTCTAAAGAGCACCTGAAAATTATATAGGCTGATTTGACATTCTAATAATATTATCTACAAATAATGATTAATAGTAATCATTACTAATTTAGGAGATTTACTAAAAAAATAAGGCTTTGGAAATTTTTTAATAAAATATTTTATTGCATTTTAGTTTTTGATATTATTAGATTAAAATGTAATAAGTTCTTAATTTTAATCAAAAATTCCTAGAGTCACATTTTTCTAGTAAACTTCTTATATATCTATTCATATATCACATTTATTATCAATTAATTTATATAACAGTAAGTTGTAACATTTAGTTAGAAATAGAGAGTAAAAGAAAAATAATTAATTTTTTTTAACTAAAGCATTATTTACAATTAAAAGTTTTATAAGTTTTTAAAGTATTAAATTAATTTATTATTTACATTAAAAAAATATTACATCATCTCTTTATAAACTAACCTTTGATAGTAAACATAATTTGCATACAATATACTGTATATAATTTTTACAATACGTCTTTTTCTCATCTTAATTTTTCTCAATCAAATAATAAACCTTTATTAATAAATAGTGAATCAAATACTATTATTAAAGATATATTTTACTTATTTTTTAATTATGTAAAATATTAAATAAAATATTTTATACTTGACAATCAATTTATCAATTATTTTTTCAAAATTATAAATCTTTATTTTGTTTTAATTGAAAAGTAATAACCTCAAGAGATCTTTTTCACTTATTAATTTCTTTTATAACAGCAGAAATAGATTTAAAACCACAAGTATAATATAGTAGCTCAATATTAAATCCAAATAATTAAGATCTAAAAAGTTTAATTAATGATTTTGTTAATTTTCTAATAAAATTTTTAATATAAATATAAGAATTACATATCTGCAAAAATATATTAATAATTTATATTAAAGAATTTGTATTATTAACATCTTATTTTATACTATTTTCTTTTAATTAATTGTATAATATATTGAATTCATAATATATTTAGTCTTGAATTAAGACTTCTTTCAAATATTTCTGTTTTAACTATATAATTGTTAAATATTAAATATTAAAACATGTTATTTTTAAATTTTTATTTTAATTTTGATATAGAAAAATAGATTTTAGAGAAATAATAATATAATATAAAATATATAATTATTTATTTAATTAATAATGCGTTTTAATTTTCAAATTTTTTTTAGATAATCATGTATAAAATTATGATTAAAAATGTTGCTATTGACAAAAAAATGTTAGATTTTTTCTTATACTATTAAAAGATATTATATAATCTACTCTTAATATAGCGAAATAGTCATTCTACACTTCAATTTTATTATAGCAAATTAATAAAGAATTTGAAGGATTTGATTGGTTACTTTATTATAGAGAGGAAAAATTAACATATTTAATTGATTAAATATCACATGATTTATTTACTATATCAAGGGTAGACTATATTTTTTACAAGTTTTTAAATTAACAAATTGCTAAAAATAGTTTATTTTAAATAAGAATATTAATAAATTCTATAGAATCAGATTCTAAATAAATTTATAAAATCTAATCTAGTTTAAAGTCTTTTAAATTATAGGATTGTAGTCTTATATTAATTAGAACTTGTAATCTTAATCTGTAGTCTTATAAAAATTAGAACTTGTAGTACTAAGATTCTACAGTCTTTATAAATAATGATGTATTATTTAACTAGATTAATAAAATCATTTAACTTAAATAATAAAAGAAATAATCTTTTAAGAAGAATTATAATAAATCATTAATTTAAACGATAAAAAAATTATTTAAAAAGAATGATAAGTAATTATTCAACTTAAATAATAAGAGAAATAATCATTTAACTTAAATAATAATATAATATTATTTAAGAAAATAATAAGTAATCATTTGATTTGAATGATAAAATAATTATATTATCATTCAAATTAAATGATTCTTTATTATTCTTTTTAAATAATTATATTATCATTCAAGTTATTATTCAAGTTAAATATTCTTTATCATTCTTCTTAAATAATTATTTTTTATCTTTTAAGTTGAACAATTTCTCATCATTTTTCTTAAATGATTATTTCTTTATTATTAAAGTTAAATGATTTTTATTATTCTTTTTGAATAATTATTTTATTATTCAACTTAAATGATTCCTCATCATTCTAGTTAAAAGATTCTTATTTATTCTTTTTAAAAAATTTTTCATTGTTCAAGAAGAATAATTTTTATCTTTTTATTAAATAATTCTCTATTATTCTAGTTAAATAATACATTATTATTTATAAAAAGTAGTCTTTTACTATTCAACTATAATGTTAATTGTTTATAATATTTTTAATAAACTAAAATTTTATATATTATTAAAACTGTAATTTTAAAACTACAAGTCCTAATTTTATAGAATTATAGCTTTAGAATCACAAATCCTAATTTTTATATGATTGTAGCCAACTTTGCCTAACAAAAGTTTATATTTCTTTTCAGGACTAATCTTAAAATCTAATTTTAGAATGTAAATCCTATAAATTAGATCTTTTTTAAGACTAAAAGTTTTAAGACCAGATTAGGATCAGGTTGGATTTTAACATCTTTAGTTTTAAATAATATATCTAGAATATAAAATATATTATATCTGATAAAAATAATTTGATTCTATAATGAAGATTGAATAGCAATTTATAAATTATTATTTGTAATCAATTATTATAATATTTAGATATCAGAGTATTATTTAATTGTTCAAATAAATTAAATATAACAATTATTTTTATAATGTAAAATTTAGCTTATTTTTCATAATAAAGCCAATTTTAAAATTTTAAAAATAGCTTTAAATATCTTAAATAAAGGGGATAAATAATAACAATTATAAGTATAATCTAAGTTAAGAGATAAATTTGTTTAATATCTAATAATATATTTTATAATATTTTTATTAATTATTTAAAATTTATATATTTCACTAGTCTATTTATAATATATTATATATAAAATTAATAATATCTTGGTAAAAATTATTATTTAATAATATTACTCTTTTTGTCAAATAAGTTAACTATAATTTAAAATTATTAAGACAATAGTTTTGATTTAAATTTAATCAATTTGACATAAAATATTAATTACAAGAACAAAATTAAATATTAAATATATTTTTATATTTGCAAATATTATCTTTATTTATTATATTATTTAATATATATTATGTTAAATGTTAGAATCTGTTTTCTTTTCAAAATATTATATAAAAAATATAATTAAAGAAAATTAATAATAATAATTATATTTAGAACAATATTGATAATAATAATAATGCTAATATATAGAGGATCTTTAAAAGTTTATACACAGTTTTTTAAAATTAAATTAAAAAATATCTATATTTTAAATCTAACTTGAATCTTTATATAAAGTTGTTTATCAGATTATAATATATATATTATTAAAATTTTATGAATATTAATCAAATAATCATTGAGATATCAAGCAAAATGAAGATTAAATAATAAAATTTAATATGTTTATTTAAAATAGAAAATTGGACTTTTAAAATCAAATTAAGAAATATCTATATTTTAAACCTAATTTTATTTTCTAAATAAAGTTATTTATTTAATTAAAAAATATATATCTTAAAATTTTTATAAATATTAACTAAATATTCACTAAGATATTAAGCAAAATAGATATCTAATTATAAAATTCAAATTGTTTTTAAAAATTAAAAAAATATAAAAAATAAAATTTATTTATTTAATATTTCAATAAATATCTAATTAATTTTCATAAAATTTTATATGTAAATATTTCATGATAAGATGAATAACTTTACTTAAAGATCAGAATTAGGTTTAAAAATGTAAATCTTTTTTAATTTGATTTAAATGAATGAT